GTTTGGCGCATCAAGTCATCCTTTTCCCTTCTCATACACTTTCCTTGCCTCCAATACAGTAAGCACATCATCTCTGTCCGCTTTATCCAGATCCTTCCATTTGACATCAACTTCTGTTGTACTAAGCGCCCGCACCTCGACATCCATACTTGCTTGCACAACATCGCGCTGGCCCATAGTTGCAAGGTCTACACCCCAAGATGAACTAAACTGAATTTGCAATGGCCCACTAGCCTTTTAGACAAGCATGTAAGCGCAATTTCAATGGAACGCACCTTGGTCTTGAACTGATTGGCATATGTTCTGTTTCTCCAGGCTGGATTCAAAGAACTCTCCACTGACGTCTTCTACACCACTTTAGTCAGCTGCTATGACCCAACAAAGGACAAAAGGAACTCACCATGTTCTCCTGGGCTTTAACAAAGGATTGTTTGACAGTGGAAGAATTGATGGGAATGGCGCTGTAAGCAGTGGTGAGTCTTTTTCTTTAATGGGTAATAAGTTACATGACGAAGTACATGCACATGCAATAATAGATCTGCCAGATTTGAAGAGCCACAGATTGCAGGTTCTCCACTGATACGTGCAACAGGTTTCCGATCGCCGGTAAGACATGTGAGGCGGGAGGCGGGAAAGTAAACCAGTTACTTTCCCGCCATGGGAAATCTGCATCAGCGTCAATGGCAAGCAGCGAGTTTCTGTTACAGAGTACTCTACAATGGCTGACTGTCAGTTATCTCCTTCAGAATTAAACCTTATCATCTGTGCATTGATGCAGCTGGGCGAAGGGGCCCAAACATTGGCCTTGCGACTGCAAGACCTGACTCGGACAACCGGACCATCTTGCCTAACCTTTTCAATCATCCCTGGTGAAATTGGGGACTCCATGCAGATTCCACACCCCACAGAGGCTTATCGAAGACGTAGGCCCCAGGCCCCATCGGATCCCAATTGTCCCAGGAATAGTAGGAAACTGGTTGGGATGCGGTGGTACGTCGGAGACAATATGGCTCATACGAGCACAGCCTCACCGGACACCGTTATCTCTGCACTTGCCGCAATTCACCCGGAATCCAAAGAGATGGAACCAAAGATGTGGATGGATAGAGTGAACCAGGTGTGCATATCTTCTTGGGATGACAGCATAATGTCAGTCCTTCAGCGTTGTTATGCCTTTTCATCTCAAGAGGTGGGCGTGGTGTTCATGAAGATGCTGAGTTATGTTGAGCTAGCGGTGAAATGTCAAAGGTGCGCTTTGTGTGTTAATGGCGACTTCTTGTGAACGTGTTTCTAACTATCGATTTAGTCTCCTGCACAGTTCAACCGATGTCTCCAGTCTGCGCGATATTTATGCTACTTTCGTCGCACCTCTGCCCAACGGCAAGCCCACTTTGCATACCTTTGTGTTCTGGAACACCTTGGGCCATAAATTTGGCCAATTGGCTGCTGGTGGATCAATATATGTTTTACTCATGGTGGCGGGCCTGGATCTGTACTGGAGCATTGCCAGAGCACTTGGTCGTGTTCCTTTTGAGGTAGGAAAGATGCTCAGAAGGCCTGACAATTCTCCTGCAGGGAAACTTGTGCGTAGCCAGATCATTCCGATCATTGCCTTTATGAGAGAGAAGCTCCCTCTTTCCTTTGAGAATCGCTTCTGCATCGATTTCAACATCTTACACGGACTCTCTGCTACAGTGGATTGCACGTCCTTGAAAGATTCAGATAGGTTCTTTGATTGCTTGGAAAGGAAGTGAGTGGCACACACCAGTTGTCCTGAACATCAGCTAATGTTTGAACAAATGGAAGTGACTATAAGTTCCCATCAAGATCGTGTTCTTCCTGGAAGCCCTGCTTGACTCCAGTCCTAGACGACCTCCTGCCAGTTTTCAACATAGTGGCTACAGCTGATGGCTGGAATCCGAACGTCAATTCATCAAAGTATAATGCCTCAGATGGGCAAGGGCTTTTCGCTGACATCAATATGGAGATCGCTGTAGTGGCTACGCAATTCGATCCTTCTTTATCGGAGAACCAAAGATTCACTGCTGAGCACGATAGGACGCTTAACAAGGCCTGGACTAAGAAAGAGAGGGAATTGGCGGAGACCAGGGTGGATGTCAGTGACCTGTCAGCGCTGCAAAGTAAGGTATGAGAATTTCAATGCAGATAGTGCCCAGTGAGACTGAAGATGAAGATGAAGCTTGATACGTTCTATCCTGGGGGGCACAAGCTGGGAGATTCATATGTCCGAATCTCAATGGATATAATACCAGGGTACGTCTTTCTCCATTCTGAATAGAATTTGACCAATGAAGACTGCAGAGCGCTGCAACTTTGCAATGCGGATGGATCCCTCATGGCTTTTGTTTGCAACGCGATGCCGGACGCCATGAGAGAGACTCTCTATGACAGGCTGAAGGCGTCCTTTGACAACCTGGACATCTTCCAAAGTCAGCTGCCCTGTTCCACCCACAAAAGAGACGATTGGTTTGAGACAGTACATTTCTCTTGGTGGAATCATTATGGGGTATCGGTAAATGCTCAACTCTCTAGGCATGCTGACAAGCTGACTTGGGGCTACAGGGTGAAGCAGCTCCTGAAGATGTTCATCCGCACTTCCTTGGGGCCAGAGCTGCAAAGGGCTGCCGTGAATTCAACTTCACCCAGATGTTGCCTTATCTATCGCAAGAAACGTTCAACCATAAACAGCTCTACCTTAATATTCAGGCATCGCTGGCTGATGTTTTTGAGTGGATTGAGACTGTGGTAAGCCCGCCGCACATGCAGGAAGAGGAGCAACTAATGTATCATGCTAGTTTCGGGCCTGCTTGCCCAAAGAGTACAAGGCATTGGTGGAACTGGTGGAGTTGCTACCAGGGAAGCCAGATAGTCCAGTAGCTCCGTTCCTCTCACTGGTGATCAACATTAATGTGGCCACGCTTGCACATCGAGACGCTAAAGATAAGTTGCTTTGTTTGGTATTGGCAGTGGGGCACTTCACAGGGGGAGGAATAGTGTTGAAGGAGCAGGGTCTTGTGGTGGAGCTTAGGCATGGCAATTTCATCGCATTTACTTCTGCTGATACCACTCATTTCAACTTGGAGTATGTGGGTGAGAGAGCATCACTGGTTTTACACACAGATGGGGGGTTCGATAAGTGGAAGGAGGGGCGTAATGGTTGGGAGGATCACTCATTCTTCCACTGACCTGACGTTCAAATATTGTCTATCTTATTTCAATCACACAGTATTATCTCAAGTAAAGAAGCGAACATCAACCGAAGAGTAAGCTTAATTCAAAGTAAGCAATGTTATTTAATATATAGTCGAAATTCACAGAGAACTTTGTACTTTGTGTTCGAACCACTTTCACCAGCAAGATCTAATGCCACCCAAATCAAAAAGAGGCACTGCAAAGCCCAAGTCCAATCCCAAGGCTGTTTCTAAGGCCCCTTCCTCATCAACATCTACTAAAAAGTTCTCAGCAGCAGACGCAAAAAGATTGGCAGAACTGCAAAAGGCTCAAAAGGCTGCTCAAACAGCAGAGGAGGCGGACAAGAAAAGAGGTGAGATTCAACAGTACAGTTGTGATAATACTAACACTGTTCAGTCACACGAAAGCGATCGGCAGCTCTACTGGAGCAAGAGGTGCAAGCTGAAAGGGACGACAGGGGCCAGCAAAGCTCAAGGCCCAATAAGCGCATCAGAAAATCTGTACCAGAATCTTCTGATGAGGAAGAGCCAGCCCTCGACACCCTACAAGAACTATTAACTTTCAATGCAGATGATGAGGAGGATGACGACTGTGACCACGAAGTTCCTGAAGAAACTCCAGCATCTCAAAATAAAGAATCACCTTTGGAGAATGACGATGATAGGGAGGACAGCAGGGAGGACAGCGGGGTGGACGAGGAGGAAGGTTCTGATGAGGAGGAGATTAGTAGCAAGAAGGGGTATAGCAAGCTGCTGGACGATGACCAGGTGCGAGTCACATATTTCATCATTTGTTTATCTCCCTGAGTCCTATAATAGGTCGTGGTAGGAGATGATGTTGAGCCATCAAGCTCGGGCCCCAGTAGGTGCTCCAGCATCCTCAACACCAAAGTGACCCTTGCCATGTTCACAACACCACACTCCAAGAGAATAGCTAGCATTGCCAACATGAGTGTCATATACCGTACACTGAGCCCCTGAATCATATCCCATCTCTCCCAAGAAACAATGTCCAGACCTCCGAAATGTAGCCAAGCTATACCTTAACCCTATCCCTACCCCTCGGCAGGATAACTCCGCATCCCAGTCTCCACCGGACATACCCCTCAGCAGGATCTGCCCTGTTTCCCATATACATCGGACGTCCTATTCATTGGTCCTCCTCCTGTATACCTCGGATCTCCTTTTCATCGGACGTCCTATTCGTCGGACGTCCTATTCGTCGGATCCCACTCATGTCGTCCACTCGTCCGCTCGTCCACTCGTCCACTCGTCCGCTCCTCCTGTATTCGTCGGACATCCTATACGTCGGACCCGCTCGGGTCCACTTAACCCCTAAGCATCGGACCCTAAACATCGGACCTACTCAGATCTGTCCTCTCGGACATCCTGTCCTTCTGTCCTTTCGGACTTCCTGTCCTCTCGGACTTCCTGTCCTTCTGTCCCCTCGGACTTCCTGTCTTTCCGTCCTTATACCTGTCTGTTCTGTCCCCCACGTCCGCCGGACTAAAGCCCCTATTCTCCGGGTGTACTAAGCCCCTATTGTCCGGCGGACTAATCCTCTTATGTCGGCCGGACTAACCCTCCTTACGTCGGCCGGACTAACCCTCCTTACGTCGGCCGACGAACCCCCTTTATGTCGGCCGGACGAACCCCCTTTATGTCGGCCGGACTAATCCTCTTATGTCAGCCGGACTAACCCTATGATCGGCCGGACTAACCCTCCTTACGTCGGCCGACGAACCCCCTTTATGTCGGCCGGACTAATCCTCTTATGTCAGCCGGACTAACCCTATGATCGGCCGGACTAACCCTCCTTACGTCGGCCGACGAACCCTCCTTATGTCAGCCGGACTAACCCCCTGAACATCGGCCCAACTCTTCCTCGAAAAGCCTACCAGACTTGTCCTCTTGAAGTCCATTGGGATTCATCATCCTCCCTTGGACTTTGTTTCTAGCCTTCGGAAATTAAGGGCACGTACTCGGGTAAGGGGCGCAGCGCACGAGCTGAAGCCAAGCCCTTCGGATCCGCCCTTTGAGCACGGTCTTAACAATGAGCATGAGACGCCATGGAGCTTTGTCAGATGGCTTCCCCACCAACCAGCAGAAGGAATGCAAGGCATGGGATGTCATTCTTGAGGCTTGTCAAGGCAACGATCAGCTGACAGAGAGGCTAACCCAGCTTGAGAACAACCTGGACATGAAGAACTTGTTGGTGAACTACGTACGTGCCTGGATATTCAAGTAGATGATGCTGATTGATCGCTCTGATCACAGACATGGCAATGGCAGGGGACAATGAGGGCTGAACTTGTACTGAAGGCTAGGCAAGGTACACCTGCCTGGTTTGGGCTTACTGAGCTGGAGAGTAGTGAGGAGGTCATTAGCGCCTGCAAATGGCTTCTGAAGGACAACATTTTTCTACATGGCGACATCAACTTAAAGGTAAGTGCTAATAATTCATATACTATGAATTACGCTCATTTAGATTCGCTTAAATCACAGCAAAGGACGTATGACAAAACCAAGCCCTGGATGAACCAAGGCCTGGTGTTATTGATCTCTGACCAGTTTTGGTCAGTAAAGGAAGATGCTATTAAGATGGGTAAACAAAATAACTTATATCTGGAGTTTCCTGATGCTCTGCTGGCCCTTTGTGCCAGTGCGGTGAGTTTGTGATTTATATGAGAGGACATTGCTAATGAAAATGTCTCTTCTAGATTCAATGTGCGCTCAGAGGCTTCTTATCAAATGGCAAGCTTAAAGGAATGGGATCTGTTGTCTCCTTCACTGATGAAACCTATTGCGCTGAGTTTGTTTCTTCCTCTTCTCTGACTTTACTTATGCTAATGTAGATGTTCTCTTTTGACAGGTTCTCTGGCTACAAATCTCTGCTTTCTGAGTTCAAGAACAATACCCCAATTTTCTACAAGCTGATGAAGATGGACATGAAGGACACTCTCAAGTATATTTTGGTTGGTTTATTATTAGCTCTAGCTAATGATTTTTTTTTGTAGAAAGGTATCTCTAGACGCTTGCAGCATGCTTAAGAAAACCAGCACCATGAAAATTGACAAGGAAGCTATAGAGGAGGCTGCAGCATTCCAGTCCGATAGTGAGTAGGAGATGCGTATGATGACGATTTAGTAGTACATTTCATTAGCATGTTCCTAAAATCAAATTGCATATCATTTGGATTTTTTTACGTTCCTTGCTGAGGTCACAGTAGCCATTATAGCAACTAGTAGCTACTAGTTGCTATAATGCACAAGTACATTTTATGAAAATCACTTGCGCATTATAGCACTGAGCTGTCATAATAGCTGCTGAAAGTGGGGGCATTCCATAGTAAGATTTTTTGTAAAAGCATGCTGCTATTATGAGGGCTATAGAAGGGACTTGCCAATAATTGGCATTTATGCTATAACAGCTATTATAGCTCCTAGATACTACTAGGAGGTGTTGGGAGCTATAATGGCAAATACACATTTTCCTGATGCATCACTTCCTCACAGAGATCTTCTGCCCGCTAATGCAGCCAGCTATCCTTCATTGCGACAATCAATCCGCTATTGCACTCGCCAATTCTGGCGCGTTTCACGCGCGCACCAAGCACATAGACATTCACTATCATTTCATTCGTTTCTCTATTGATAAAGGTTCTATTTTACTAGAATACTGCCCTACAGACAGTATGATTGCTGATGCCCTCACCAAACCCCTTCCTAGCCTCAAAGCTAAACACTTTGCTACTGCCCTTGGACTTCGCTCGGTTTGAGGGGGAGTGTTGAATATTCTAACGCTCGCTACGTACATTACATAAGCACACTCATTTTCACTTCCTTCGCACGCAGTAAGAGCTCTTCCTCAGTGACTTCCATTAAGTCTACTGAGGTTAGTACCTATTATACATAGTACCTACATCTAACTAATAGTTCCTGTAGCTCGTGTACTCGCTACAGGTATATATTCAATACAGTGACATCCATTAAGTCTACCGAGCTCGTGTACTCACTACACAATGATCCCCTCATAAAGTATTATCTCGCTCACCCCAATCATACACCAACACAGTGAAAGATGCAACTGTGAAACCATAGTCAATGATAGCGAGACGTCAACATCGTCATGCCACTTGCTCTCTACGAACCTTGAAAATAGCTAGAAAACTGAACATAACTGAGGAACGGCCACGAAGCAGGATCATTTGAGACGAAGAAGGTCATATTAGGATGGGGCGTATGGAGTTTGTACAGACCTACCACCATCCAGCGCTTTTTATAGTGATCAGGCTGGATAGTGGCCGTGTCTCGAATCACAATCTTCATTGATCACAGCAAGTAGAAAAGGAATAGTAGTGAGAAGCTGTTGTTTGAAGAACTTTGATGTAACTTATGTCTGCAATCTGCGGAATATTTGAACACCGAAAAAATCTTTTCGTGACTAAACTTGCTGTTTTGGGGATTCTGCATCAGTTCCATCAGCAATCACGAAACATTAGCTATCGATGAACATAGACCAACCACAGGACTTCAATATATCTGAGCCGTGTAGTGACAGAGAACGGACCACTATGATGATGGATGCACAAGGGTCAGAGTGATATTTGCAACATCAGACAGACTGGTAGGAACACCTGAGTTCAAATCTACTTCGGCATGGTTATTGATGATCTTTCCCAGACATCATCCGATCGCGGCGGTGATATACCGGGCTTGGGTGGACTCAGTTTGCAAGACCAGTTACTTATGAGGGAATTCTCACATCAAGGCTATGCGTCGCAGATGCGCAGAGCCTCTGAACAGATTGATGGAGGAGGTGGATAGTTGCGCGATTGCTGATGCTGAATTTCTGCAGTATCCGGGAAAACTCAGGATTTGATTGTGTCGAGGTGCGTTTTTGTTTCCGTTATCGGCTCTTTCCTTCCTTCCTAGACATGCCTTAGTTGCCTATTGACGAGTCCCCGAAGTTATTGGGTGGACGGAGTTAATTTGAGACTCATTGACACAACGACTCGACGAGTTTACGGAGTACTAGTACAGACCTTTCGGAAAGTCTTGACTCACGTGTTCGAAATGGTTCAAAAATAGTGAAAATGTCGAAAATTCATTTAAATTCCTTTCGAGTTTTGTATGCCTCTGAACAGCTTCAAAAACATCATATTTCACAAGTTTCTCACTCATACTCGTCATGGTCTACCAGAAGACCAGGTTTGATCGGAAAGAACGAGCCCTGTGCCTGCTTTTGGAGGAAGGACAGGACATCGAGCGCATTGATGTTGCTCTTGGAGTATCGTCAAGAAGTATAGAGCGGTGGGAGGCAAATTATGATGAACATGGACGTTGTGGGAGAAATCGTAGAAGTCCACTATAGTGATAGCGTACCGATCCTGCTGGGTGCGAGAATAGTAGTCGACCCAAGGGGATAGCTCTGAGAGCAGTTCCTCAAATATGAGCAAGGGGAACAGTGAAGAAGGAAGTGATGCACTGAAGACAGAACGGCTGTGTACGTGAGGAGATGCGGAGATGCGAGAATGCGCGGAGATGCGAGGTATGTGGAGATGCGAGGTATGCAGATGCGGAGATGCGAGGTATGCGGATGCGGAGAAACGAGTGAATGTCTAGAGGGTACCAGGTATGCGAACGGGTAGGGTACCAGGTATGCGAAACGGGTAGGGTACCAGGTATCAGAACAGGTAATCAGGTAGAGCAAACTAGGTACCAGGTATATGCGAAGACGTGCAGAAACCGCTTTGCAAAGGAACTCAACTAGGACTAGCAATAGTCAACTGTCAATGGCGATGCGAGCGTTCACGCAGGATGAGAAGGCAAACAAGTGATTGCTCAAGCAAGGAAAGACAAGGTAAGACTAACTAGTGACTCCGCAACACACAACCAGAGAGAGGGAATGTAGGAAAGTGAGGTCCGTACGAGTCTGCGATGTAGTATATAACAGAGTCTGTAAGAAACCGGAACCGTATAAGCAGGCGCATATGCAAGCGAAGTCGGAAGGAGATACATGTAAGTAATGGTACACGGCCTCGTGTATGGGAACTGATATGTAACTGGCCCTGCGAACGGTTAGGAATGACTAACTAAGAAGGAGAATGCACCAGTGAGGACGGACAGATGAAGACAGGACATGGACAGATAGTGCGTTGTGATGCGATGAGTGCATGGATTCCGCAACCTCATGTGATGGTCCGCAACGGCCTGTGGAAGTTATGCGTGACTTCATCCAGTAAGGGGAAATGGTGCCGTACGGGGCTGCAGCCCGATCGTCTCCTACAATGTATTAACCCTCCTACACCAATCATGGGTCGCCCTTGCTTGCTGGATCAAGTTATGACAGACGAGATCCACAAGCTGCTAGCTGAAACCCTGTCACTGCTACTTGACAAGATCGGCGAATGGCTCGCCATATACCACGATCAGCCAATATCGACGACAACTCTCCATGAACACCTCAGGGACCTTGGTCTCACCTACAAAGGGTCGTGGCCGAACATGATGACGGTTTCCGAGCTGATTGGTTGCACAACATGACAGCCAACTATACAGCTGAGCAGTTTGTGTTCCTGGACGAGTCAAGCAAAGATGACCGCACCACACTCCCTAGATATGGTTGGTCACTCAGTGGACAAGCCCCCTTTGACAGTGTCCGCTTGAACAGGGCATTCGATACAGCGTGCTGCCGGCTCTCACCATTGACGACTATATGACTGTCCGAGTCGTTGAAGGATCTATAGACGGCGCAGAGTTCTACGATTTCGTTGTCAACGACGTAGCAAGTATATCCTTTTCAGTGTCTGAATCATCAATAGATTCATCATCAGAGTGTTGTGAATGAGAGGCATCCTCCTCATCGGAGCATTCAGTTACTGTATTAGACATAATCTAATGTTCAAAAGAATGACAGATATGCTTTTCTGCTCGACTTTGAAGGCGAGTTTGCTGGATTTTCGATTTATTTGAATTTTCAACATTTCTACTATTTTTGAACCATTTCTATACGAAGTAGTCAAACTAGCGGAGAGACACGCTCAGTAAGTCGCGGAGAACAATACTATATTCATTGATATGTACCTAGCAGAGAGACACACTGGTATGCTAATCAGTATGTGTGAGATACGAGCAAGATGAAGTCTACACACCTCAGTAAGTCGCATAGAACAATACTGAGGTGCATGATGCGAGACGAGCAAGATTAAATACCAGTAACTAACAAGACCGGTGAAACAATGTGCGGAGAGTACTCGTATGGTCAAGAAGCAAAGAAGAAGAAGACACCAAGTGTAATGACACATGTGGTGTTGATGGTGATAGCGTCAAGAAGGAAATTGAAAGACTAAAGGTAAAAAGCTTACAATTTCGAACACGTGAGTCAAGACTTTCCGAAAGGTCTGTAGTACTGGCCCCTGGGGAAATTTTTAAATTAACCGAATTGAGCCCGAGTCGGCTGTACGTATGACATGTACATTTGATAGCCCCCACGCATTTCGTGCCCAGCACGCATTAATGATTCAACATGTCAGTGCACAACAAGGAGCATTGGTTATCATGCCAGTGAGCACTGTGTCAGCTCCCCAGATAAGATGGTCAAGCTGGGCACTGCAATTACAGGAAACCATGTGCAAGAGTTCTGATACAGGTTCTACACACAAAGCTTTGTCTCGTCATCTGAAATGCTAGGGCCACTTCTGAGCTAAAGTTTCAACTAGGATCAAAGGTCTACAAATGGTCTCCCAGACTGAACTGACCTCTGTCCGGTTTAACCACAGACTCTGACCACTCCAGGGACCATGTACATATATTCAAAGCAGTACTATCTACTACACCTGTGCCACCACAGTTTGAACTCTAGGTATCACTACTTTCCGAATAAAGCCTTGCTCCACCTTGCACAGCACCAGTCCCTGAAATACCTTAGATGCCTGTACACAACAAGCCCTCTTCACCCACACCTCCATGTCCAACCCAACCCTACACGTCAACAATCCCTACGACCCTATAAACACCCTCGACGACATCCCGGGTTTCCACTGAGCTCTCCACGAATTCCTTCAATCTTGCAAGCACGAAAGCAATCCAGACAAGTCCTTCCGTCCTCATCACTCCCACAACACATTCCAGAAACTGAGATCACTGCAGACAAAGATTTTACTTTGCGGCTGATATTTTCCAATGTGTGGATGGGTCTCATGTCTTTCGAGGACAAGCTTTGTGCATTTTGGCTTCTGCTGATCGCATCAAGCACAGTATCACTAATGCTCCTGTGCATTGTAAATGCCCTAGCAGCCTTGCAGGTCGTCTTGCGGGCTACATCATTCCCTCTCTCAGCACTAGCGGCACATAATAGATTGCGGGTATGACACCCGTGGAGCACCATGCTGAATTCGTCTATGCAGAGAGTCTTTTGGCTGGCAAGACAATATGTTTTGTGTGGGATTCACGCTT